AAAAAAAAAAAAAAATGAAATAAAACAAAAAGACTTTTGCTCACCCCCAATAATACCTAGGATGGCGTATGTTCTACATCCCTCTTTTGGATGGCCTATTCACGGCAACATTAAAAACTAGCCCATCCTCCAACCAAGTCTTAGTCGCCATGACAGTTTAAGTCCCTTTTATACTGCTCTGTTTTCCTCCCCAACCTCCCCTTGTGCCCGTGCCCATGCGCAAGCCCAGTACCAGCAGCAGCTGTGCTCCAGACTCCTCCAACTCAGGTACCACTGACTGCACTGGACGGGGTCCTCTGGGGGAAAAGGCTCCTCGGGGCAGAGACACATCTCGGGGCCAGTCATCCTCTGGGGGCAGCCCGATCAGGCTATGGGGAGCAGGAGAACTCTGGTCAAGAGGGTCCTTCTCCAGCCTCCATTTCCAGGGACAGAGCCAGTTGCCATCCAGGGCTTAGCAGAAAGATTCAGAATGGAAAATTCTTTTCCCCCATGCTGGTCACTTACTCAAAGATTTTGCCTAACTGGTCAGCTTCAGAGTTTCCACAGAAGAGAGGCCTAAGGTGAGAAAGGACACAGGGAGCAGTCATTTTCAAAGATCTGGTAGTGGAATAATTATTGCTAGTGGCTCAAAACAGAGGGTATAGAGAATATGGGGCTATGAAGTTCCTAATTCCAGGCCGTTTGAGAGTTCCTGGTTAGGGACAAAATGGTCAAGAGTACTTAAGTGAAACAATGGGCAGGGAGTGGATGCAGTTTATGACTAAGAGATTTGGGAAACTCAAGATAGTTCAGGATACTTGGGTCTCATACTTGCGACGAAACATCTCTGCGAAGATACAGCCAACGCTCCACATGTCCACAGGTGTTGCGTACGTAGACTGCAGAAGAACTTCCGGAGCACGGTACCAGAGTGTAACAACCTAATGGGAATAAGAAAAGCGGATGAGGATTGTATGGGTTACCATGAACCACAACTGGTTAATTACAGTCACAAAACACATGACTTCTCAATTGCTATGGTCAGCCACTCCCCTACCCCCACCTTTCTACTGACCACAGGTGTAAGTGCCATCTGATAGCTGTAGATTCTGGCCAGGCCAAAGTCAGCCAGCTTGACTGTCCCACCACTTGTCACCAGAATGTTCTCTGGCTTCAAATCTCGATGAACAATGCAGTTGGCATGGAGGAAATCTAGGCCTCTTAGAAACTGGCGCATCAGATCCTAGTTTGGAAGGGGGAAACACACAGGAACTGGAAACTAGACACCATACCTGAAATCACAACAGGTTCTACCACAAAGGTCTCGATGTACCTCTCAGTGTCTACCCACCCTACCCACCTTGATAGTCTCCACTGGCAAGCCTGGTGGGGGTGCCTTGTCCAGATATGTCCTTAGGTCTTGGTCCACATGCTCAAACACCAGGGTCACTTTGGTCTCTCGGTCAGTTCGGGCAGTGGCACAAACATCCATCAGCCTGGCCAGAACAAATGGTCACTCACTGATCGATCCCTTTGTACCCAATGGCCTCCCCTATTTCCTCAGGGTCCCCACTTCCCTTCTGACCATCACTCCCCACCTTTAGGTTACCTTTTCCCCTTTACTACCCACTCCCAACCCTCCACCTCTTCTTACCGGACAACATTGGGATGTTCAAAAGCCTCCAGCCGCCTCAATAAGGCCACCTCACGAACTGTGCTGATGGGAAGGCCCCCGCTAGCACCTCCTCCGTTAGGGACTCTCACACTCTTGAGGGCCACAAAGTGGCCACTGTGGGGATCACGGGCCTTGTACACGGTTCCATAAGCACCAACACCAATCTCGGCCACTGGCTCATATCGAGGAGTAGCCATTCTCAGATCAGAGGAGACCCTACAATCACAGAGACTCCTGCCACTGAAAATCCCTTCCAAAGTTCAGATGGTGTAAGCCTGCAGCAATAAAGTGACTCCCACAAAAGACATTACAAAGACACCACATCAGCATCCCGTCCCTTCCCCAATCTTCCACGAGGCTGGCCTCTCAGGTAACACAATGACCCTAACTCCAACCCCTCCAGCCACGTGAAGCCCTAAAATAGAAAATTCCTCTTCCTTTGGGACAGACCATCGCGCCCCGCACAAGGTTGATCTCACACGACACACCCCCTGCGTCGAAGATCCGACATCCAGTCCCTAAAATGACACCTCCATATGACCACAAAGGAACAAATTACACCCTGCCCCACTTCCCGCCCTCGAGCCATCCTTCCATAACTTGCTCGGGTAGGAAGCCGTGCAGGACGAAAATGGTCCCCATTCCTGGGAAGGGTCTATACTTACCTCACTCCGTGCCGGGAGCTGCGGGGGCGGCCCGTTATCGGGGCCCCGGAGCCAGATCCTGAGGCGCCATACACTCGAGCTCTGTCCGGTGCAGCTGGACGCTACGGGCCCGACCATAGACACAGCCCGCAAGCTAGAGCGGCCCCCTTACCCCCACCCTCACCATGTGACCAGCTGCCAA